CATCAAGTCTTGCCTCATTCAAAACTGAACTTAAAACTTATCTCTTCAAATTAGCATATTCTTTGTAAATAATTTTATTTTGTCGTTGTCTTTGTCGTTTGTTTACTAGCGCTTAGAACAGATTTGTATTTGCGCTTTATAAATAAATATTATTATTATTTATTAATATTCTAACTTTTAATCTTATTATGTTTAGTTATATTTCATGTTGGTAGTAATGGATGGCATCTATATTTTTTATTCTATGAAATAATCATATGCCAAAAGAGTTATATTATTAAACTATACTTATTATTTGCATTCAAGAAACCAGTTACCGCCACCCAGAATGACATGTCTGATGAAAAATCTAGTGAAGAAGAACTCAAAACAGATGTATCAAGTCCAGTAGCAAAGAAGACAAAAACAGAAAAAGATGCAGATAATAAGATTTCTCCAAAATCTTTTAAAAAGGAAAAACAAGAAATGAAAGAAAAATCAGAAGAAAAACTAAAAGGAAACAAAACAAAATCTACAAAAGACAAGAAGTCTTCAAGTGATTCAGAGAATGGGACGATGGAAGTTTGCTCAGCAGAAAGTGATACAACAATGGATAAGAAGAACTCTAGCAAGGAAGAAAAGTCAACCAGTGATTCTGAGAAAGATGGAAAGAAGGATGAGAGCAAGAAATCTGCCTTCAGTAAATTTTTTTTTTGTAAGTTGATTACTGATTACTGCAATTTTTAATTTTATGTAAACTTGATTCTTTCATTTGTTATTTAGTGTTGTCACTTCCGTCAAAGCAGACCAAAAATGGATATCAAGTGTCAGTCAGTGTACGGCTAGAAAATTGAATTCATTGTGAAAATGAAAAGCATTTGAATAAATGGATGGATGAATTAATGGATGAAAAAAATGAAACTAATTTTATCTGGAGTTTGAATGACCCAAACAGACTTCACACTTCACATCAAGCAAGAAGCAAGACGAACGGTAAGCTTACAATGATAGAGACCTTATTTTGACACCTTGGACAATTATTCATATGTCTCTATCATTGCAAGCTCACCGTTCATCTCGCTTCGATTCAAAGGCACGGCTACCTTTCAAGATGGCACAGGGAACTGTGAAGGGGACTATTTACAATCCTTCTGGGTGCAAGAGTAACTTTTCTAACTCTTTTGGGTTGTCTCTCTTCCATCATCCACCTGTCTTTTTAATCTCAATTTTCTAAAATTTTGTCTTTTGTATGTGTGGAAAATAAAACCTTTGTACCTTTGAAACATGGARCCCAATGTATTATCCCACCAGAGCAAACTACTGTACAAATTGCTGTGCTATGAATGTTTCAGGTCTATAGTTTTGCCATAATTTGTTTGGCTCAATATTAGAACTTTTTTATTGTTTTGATTATACCATTAGCTCCAAGACAACCTTCCAAGAGCAGCAAACTAAAAGAGGCAAAACGGGAAGAGGCAACAATTAAAACTGAAAAGAAATCTCCAAAAGAGGAAAAACAGTATGTCAATGGATGTGTTTGATTTGATTTGGGGGGCTTATCATCTTTTAGCACATGGGGGGAGGTGGAGTTTTACAAACATAACCCAACTTTCCTCCATATAGTAGAGACAACAATTGCATAACCCCCCTTTAATCAACTTGCAATGGTTCTCAACCCCCTCAATATGTGATCACTCCACCCAGGTGTATGATGGGAATGAATGGGTACCTGACAATAAGCTGGGTAGTAACCTGCAATGGACTAACATCCTAACCAGTGGGGAGGGGTGATACTCTTAGTTCCTTCATGCTCCACCAATCATTAATCATGTGATCTTACTCACCATAGCAACACACATAAAAATGATGCTGGTGAAGACCATGAACCAGTCGATGCCAGTGAATACAACCCAGAAAAGAACTGTTACAACCCAATAAAGCATGCATGTTGGAAACGAGGTGAAAGGTATGTACTATAATATGATCTGGACACACCTGGAGAACAATAATAACAATTTCATGGTCATTTCAGGGTTCCTTATCTTGCTGTTGCCAGAACCTTCCAAGCGATTGAAGAGACTTCAGCACGGTAAATTGCGCAATTAATATTAATTGTATCGTATCAGGAATAGAAGGGAGACTGCGTTCCATTTGTAAAGGAAGAATGATATGTGGCATGCTTCTCAGGGCTAAAAATAATGGCTGGTCATTGTAGAATGTCTAGCCAGAATTGGAACTTGTCCAGTTAATTCTTTGCCTTGCTGGTCATTTTGACCAGTAACTACTTGAGCCAGAAACAAGGTATGACCAAGCTAAAACGTATTTGGCCAATCATGACGACTGTCAACTAACCAGCTGTTAATTTTAGCCCTGCACGTGGAATGTGTTAACTTTCACTATTCTGGTTTCCAATTTTTTGTTATCAAAAATCAACAGAATCCTAAGATTTATTGTTTTAAACACAGGTTAAAGATAATGTCGATACTTAGTAACCTACTTCGTTCAGTCATTGTGTTGTCTCCCAATGATCTACTGCCCTGTGTCTACCTTTGTCTCAACAAGGTAATGTGATATCACTGTTTAGTATAATTATAATTACATCATCATAATCATATAGTGGATTATTGGCATTGATGTGTGAGATATAATGTACCTACACCTGCATTTGCGAGCATGCAAATTTTACCACTGTTTTCATTGCGCGCACTGATCAAGACAAAAGTTGTGACAGGTAAATGGACAATAGACTAACATCAGTCAAGTAAACCATGTACCTTTCCACAGTTTACATGTACCTTTTTGTACACTCTACTGATTTATTTGATTGAAGGTAGTTTTTTGTCTTCTTGGGAGAGTTCAACTCCATCAGCATGCAGCAATGAAAACAGTCATAAGGAATGGAGTCAACAATCTGTCTCAACAGTCTGAACTATCACTCAACAGCAGTTTTATAATTCCATTTTTTGTAGCTTGCTCCAGCATATGAAGGCATAGAACTTGGAATAGGTGACCATATCTTGATGAAAGCTGTTGCTGAATCAACTGGTAATAATGCCATATAAATTATGCCGCCTCCTAATCTATTTAAGGGAAGCATGGGTGGTGTGCACTGCTAATGCATCACCTCTCACCAATGGCTTTTGGGTTTTACTGGGCATTGTATGTGAGTAGAGTACTTGTTTGTTGGTTCTCTCCTGTGCTTTGAGGGTTTTTCTCCGGGTTCTCCAGTTTTCCTCCCTTCTCAAAAMTCAACTTCTRAATTCCAATTCGATCTTTGGGCTTTCACCTAGTTTGGAGCCTAGCTCTATTGTGATTGTCCTATGCTTTGATACAACAGCTAAAGCTCAATCAATTAGATTAAAATTATTTACATGTGACAATTTACTGTGTATATTGCACTCTACTGAACCCTTAATTTAACCACCAGGTCGAAATCTTCAGCTCATCAAAGCCGATTTAGCAGAGAAGGGAGACTTAGGGCTTGTAGCAGAGGTAATATTTTATGAGACTAATTTTTAAAATATCTGACTGTTTTAAAATATCTGACTACCAATGTCTCACATTCTGTGTCTGTCATAGGCAAGCCGTAGCAACCAGCGTACCATGTTTGCTCCTCCTAAACTAACAGCTGTTGGTGTTTTCTCCAAGTTAAAAGAAATTTCCCTGTTGACAGGTCACAGTGTGAGTATAATGACAAACCTGGATGGAGAAAAATATAAAAAGAAAAAACCGATATCTTGAGCTTCCAAATCTTGAACTTGATTCTACATCATCGTGGACTTGCATCAACATTGGTGGAGTGGGTGTTATTATTAGCTCTAAAAACCTATTTATCATTTATTATTATTAATTTATTATTCCCCTAGTCAATGTCTAGAAAGGTTGACATAATCAAGGGTATGTTTGTTGCCTGCCGTCATTCAGAAGCCAGATATTTAATAAGGTAAGCAAAGCAAAAGAAGAAAAAAAAGCATTGAGAATCAAGATTAAAGAGATTGTAAAGTGATTGTCAACAACAAAAAAAGTATTTAAATCCTCATTACTTGCTGTAGGTCTCTTGGCGGGAAGCTACGCATTGGTCTAGCAGAACAGTCAGTTCTTACTGCACTAGCTCATGCAGCTGTTCTTACTCCTCCTTGCCAAGGTAGATAGACATCACATGTACATGTGTATTGCTTGGTATCAATCAGTTCAATGGATTTCATGAATTTCATCACCAGCCTACAATGTCAGGCAAACACTCTGAATGAATCTCATTAGGTACCAGCTGTAAGTAAAGGGCTGACACTACAGGTCTTGAAATGGAAAAAATAATTGTAGCCTGCCATAGCAGATAAAGGAGGTCATTCCAGTAAATTTTGCCTGCCTTTTTATTATTTATTTGGCAGTACATTGTCATTTTTGCCTGCAAAACCTGAAATTTGGCCTATCATTTGGCCATTGGCAGCCTGCTACTTCGAGCCCTGCACTACCAACCATCCATGTACCTTTCTATTGAAACCTGCCCTTCAGCTGGTTGAATTTCCACACAACTTGAAATAACATCTATCTGTTGGTACAGTAGCACCTTTTTAGTGCAATGCCTACCCAACAATTAGAATAAAGAATAAACTACATTTTTATCTGGTAATAATCAAAAAAAATTTACTTCAGAATATCCTCCTCCTGTGCTGGATGCATCCAAAACTGTATCTAGTGAAGAACTAAAGAAAAAGTTTGAAGAAGCAGCTCTGATCGTTAAATCTTGCTACTGGTGAGGTCTTACTGTTTTCTGTGTTATTTGCAGGGCTTCAAATAATGGCTGGTCAGTGGCCTGTCATTATGACCGGCAAAAACAGTTTTAGCTTAGTTATACTTCACATCTGGCTTAACGTTACTGGTCAAAATAACCAGTATGGCAAAGATTTGACCAGACAATTTCCAATTCTGGGTGGACATTGTCTGATGACTGGCCATTATTTTTAACACTAATTTGCTATTCTCCTTTTGTCAGCAATCCCCCACTCCCAGAAAATTATGCAAACCCCACTTATGTGAGGGAGGTATAGATATTTTCTCAAACATTGTGGTGTATCCTCTTGAGACCCATTGAATAATTGTAGTAGTATAGGGAATGGGGGTTCCAGCGCAATCTCAACACGGGCAAGACCCGTGTCAAAAATCCACCTACGGAAACGACCCACTCCAAGTGTGGTTGGGGGCAACAGCGCAAATATGTTAGTCTATATATGGAGTGCGAAGA